TTTTGGTCATTATGTCTTCTTGACCGTGCTCCCCTGTTTCCGAATTGGCCTCCCAAGGGGACGTTCATGATGCTGCCACCGTGAATGCCATAGTCGTCCCTTTTGTTGATGTAACCAGTGAAGCGACAACGGATGCCAGTGCAACGGGGGAGGATTCTTCCGATGGCTCCTCTTCTTCCGACGGATGATGAGCTCCAAAAGTCCATCTTGGAGGAGGCTCATTCATCGGCGTACGCCATGCACCCAGGAGGTACAAAAATGTATCGTGATTTGAAGGAAAGTTACTGGTGGTCCGGTATAAAGAGAGAAATAGCCGAGTACATCAGTAGGTGTCTTACTTGTCAACAAGTTAAGGCAGAACATCAGCATCCAGCTGGGTTATTACAGCCACTTTCCATTCCTGAATGGAAATGGGAACACGTGACCATGGATTTCGTGGTGGGGCTACCGCAGACGGTTAAGAACTATTATGTCGTATGGGTCGTGGTTGATAGGCTCACGAAGAGTGCACATTTTCTACCTATCAACACCACCTATGCACTGGAGAGGTTGGCCAAATTGTATGTGAATGAGATCATGAGGTTACACGGGGTTCCGATAACCATTGTATCCGACAGAGATCCACGATTCACATCACGATTTTGGCCGAAGTTCCAAGAATCTATGGGAACCAAACATAAATTTAGCACTGCTTTTCATCCACAGACGGATGAACAATCTGAAAGGGTTATACAAATTTTGGAGGATATGTTGAGAGCTTGCGCATTGGAGTTCCAAGGAAGTTGGGACAACCATTTAGCACTCGTGGAGTTTGCCTATAACAACAGTTATCAGGCAAACATTGGCATGCCTCCATACGAGGCATTGTATGGGAGGAGATGTCGTACACCTTTGTGTTGGGACGAGGTTGGCATGGCCAAACTCGAGAGCACGGAATTGGTGGAGATCACCAAATCAAAGGTAAAGATGATCCATGAGAGACTTAAGGCGGCACATGATAGACCGAAGAGCTATGCTGATAGCGCCAAAGAGCCTTAGAATTTAAGGTTGGAGATGAGGTATTCTTGAAGGTTTCACCTTGGAAGGGAATCATACGATTTCAGATCCGAGGGAAACTAAACCCACGGTATATAGAGCCATTTGTGATTCTTGAGAGAATTGGGGCCGTAGCATACCGCTTACAGTTGACTCCGGAGTTGGAGAAGATACATAATGTGTTCCACATGTCTATGCTTAAGAAGTATATACCAGGTCCATCTCATGTATTGGAGAAACCACATGTGGAAATACAGGAAGACCTGAACTATGCTTTGCAACCGGTAAATATACTTGATAGGCAAGTAAAGAAGCTGAGAAGCAAGAAAGTTCCAATGGTGAAAATCCTGTGGAAAAGTGACCGAGTTGAAGAAGAAATTTGGGAAACGGAAGCTTTGATGAAGGAACAATATGTTTTTCTGTTTGAATAAGCGTTATGAATTTCGGGGACGAAATTCCCGTTAAGGGGGTCTGAACTTGTAGCACCGTCCCCAAGCACATTTACTTTTTAGTAAATTATGTAATAACCCTTGAAGAATGAATCATGAATTTGCGAAGTTGTAAATTTTACTAATTCTTTTGCGTGAATAGTAAATTGCACGTGGGGCCCGCACCGGGAACGGGGACCGTCCGATAATTCTAGAATCACATATTATATTCATCTTAGTTTAGATAATATGTATATAGTGATGGATATTGTAGTAGGCCCATAGAAAGAGCAGAGAGTCGACCCATTGGTCAAACGAGGCCCAAATACCGGTATTGGTAATTTATCGGATAACAAACCGAAATGAATTTCGGAGACTCCTACATTAAAGTTGGGGAATGTACATCTATTCTAAGGTCCTATAATGGTTAGGAACGTGTGTTATATTTTATTTGGCCCGTTAAAATAAAATATAAATACAATAGTCCAAAAAATACAACTTTCGAGACCGATTGTACACTTCTGGACTCAAATGGGTGACCTCCCACATGTGTGGGGAACAACCCACGTTTTTTGGCTGCATGTGAGCATGGGAGACAAAGGAAATTTGCTTGGGGAGCAAATCAATTAAATGGAGTTGGACCCCTTTCTTATATTATTGAGTGAAATGCCAAAGGTGGCATTCTCAATCACCCCCACCCATTAGCTCGACCCAGGCCATCAAGAAAGAGGAAAGAAACTCTCAAACCCTCCTCCATAGCTGGAAATTTCAAACTCAAGAAATAGAGGCCCAAAGAAGAAGATTAAAGAAGGAAAAGATGGGGAAATTGCGAAAGATTAAGGTAATGATAAAACCTTGTTAGGAGCTTGACTAAGGTGTTCCTAACTGTCGCCGGAGTATCGCCGGAGTTCGCCGGAGTATCGCCGGAGTTCAACCGAAAAAGATAGAACTTCTTAAAACTCATTCGAGGCGAGGATGACTGACTATATTGTTTATAATTAGTGAGTTAATTTCATAAGATTTCCTAAGGTAATTAAATGTGAATTTCATGGATTATTAATGATTAATAATGCCTAAATGAAAATACTATTGATATGAGAATTGAAGCATGATATACAAATTTAGAATAAATTGTGTATGATTATGTGATATGAAAGTGATGGCATGATGATGAGATTAACTATGAAATGTTGTGATAAAATATACTTTTACTTCATGTAAGGAATTCATGAATTGATAAAAGTGATATTTTTGATATTGAGATTAAATCATATTTGGATTGGAAAATCAATTGAGATGAATTGTTTGACTATGAATTAAGAACTTGGTTGTTCTAAGATTATCCGACTAGTATTGAAATACTAGTCGGGAGATTAATATAAATAAATGATGGAATTAATCCTAAGAGATAGGGTTATGAATAAATATGCCTTAAGTAGTCTTAAGAGATACTTTAAGGTTGGATTGTATGAATACTAAGGTGTGTTAGGGGTAAACCTAAAGGCTACCCAAGTGAATTGATTCTAAGGCATAGGACTTGCATGAGAATTGGACTATGGAAATAAATTAGAGTTGGATTCTAGGATTGCATAGAAATGTAGTTGGGTCGAGCCCTTTCCATGTATTTGTGATCTTCATGGAAACGTAGTTGGGCCGAGTCCTTGCCATACAACTTTGACGTGTTAGATTGAGTTAGAGGATTGTATAGGAATGTAGTTGGGCCGAGCCCTTGCTATACAATCGGGGCTCGGCCTAACTACATTCCTATACAATCCTCTAACTCAATGGGGTTGTCGTGGCTTGTGGTCACGTGGAATTAAAATGGTGAATTCTAAATAAATATGGGCCCACGGGCCGACTACTTGACTTTATATAAAGTAAGTATTTTTCTAAAAAGGGGTAATCGAGGGCTATGGCCTATAATGTAATATCACCCTAGATTGAGGGTCTTAGAAATTGAAACATTGATTATGCTTAGCATAGTTGTCATTGTACTTGTCAAATGTTTCCAAATACTGACCTCCCCTTCACGGGGGAGGCCACCTCACAGTTTCAGGTAGGAGCTAAGCTTGCTACCAGGGTCCGTGGCTTCGGGAAGATTTAGGAGAGAAAACGTGGTTCGCGCTTCCTCCGTTTCTCTTTCAAAAAAATTATAATAATGCTCATGGATATTATTTTCTGAACAATCATTTGGAGGCTTGTATGCTTGGTTATGCCAAGTGTGGCTTGAACACTTGTAATATTGTTTCCGTTGCTTTAAATGAATACTTCACATTATGTTTGTTTATGGATGTACTATGTGTGAAAGATAATCCAGACACCTTGTATAATATGGATGTGTTGGACTGCGGTTGACTATTCGTACTGTACGGCGGATTGTTGACGTGTCCGGATAGGTCCGGGGCGTGACAATGCATCTGCTTTTAAGGGAGCTCATCAGCTAAGAACTCCAAAGTTAAGCGTGCTTGCACGGGAGTAGTCTTAGAATGGGTGACCCCCTGGGAAGTTTCTCAGGGCGCACATGAGTGTGAACAAAGTGCGCGGAAAAGGCTAGTGGCAGTTTGTGAGGACGGTACTAGAGGTCAGGAGTAACTACCTCGGGGACTGCGGGGCCGAGGTGTTACATAGTCCCTCTCGTAGGGTTTTTTATTCTCCGCCGATTTTGTGCGGCTACTTTGCTTCTATTGACGAGGCGATGTTTCCATGGCTGCAGACAGAAGTAAGGCAGGAACAGGAGGGTTGCTGCAACGACTCAACAGCGATGGTAGGGCACCACCAAGTGATGGACAAAGGGAACAGATGATCGAGAAACACATCGGGAAGGCATGTCTGATGATCGATTCGGCTCATCAGGAAACCAAACGCCGGAGGAATGGTGTGACGGACTGGAGTAGAGGCGCTAGGGTTTGGAGCCATGTCTTGCCCACGTCAAAAATCATAGCGAATGACCGGCCTCCTCCTGAACCACTATCGTGGGCTGTATGAGGTGCTAGAGTTCGTGAAAGTTTTCCTATTAGTTTTTATTATTTTGTCATTTGGTTTTTTGCTACCGTCTATGTTGGTAGGTTTGTCAATTTGTTTGGGATTTTAGCTCTTTTTATGTCATTGGGTATGTTTGAATCTATGAGAACAAAGACGGCTGTGTCAAGCCCGCTGCATGGTTAGCGATTCGTGTTGCTCTTTCAGGGGTGACCGTCTCTAAGTCTGATCATAAGGTTTACGATCATAGTTATTGATGTTTAGTTGATGTCAATTTTGTTTTTTCTTTAATTGAGGTAATTATTCTGAAACTTATGATATGAATAGAGACAAGTTTACGATAAAAAAGCCACCAATCTTTTTAAATTTGCCACTAATTGTTGAAGTTTTCACAATTTAATGACAGACGCCATATTGTTTTTTTACGAACCGGCAAAAGTGGTTAGAATTAGCGTGATAAATTTCGGTTATTTTTAAAGTACCGAGAGTCGTACTCCACAGTCCCATGATGCATTCACCTGATTTTTTATAACCCCGACGTTTTCAAAATTGTTTAAAAGAATTAAAAATAGAAAAAAATTGTTGATTCTTCCAGGAAGACGACCGACCCAAAACCTCCATAATCTTTCCCGTCTTCTTCTCTCTAAACATTTTTGCGATTCTATCCCAGTTTCCTTCTTATTCCCAAACTCTGAATACATGTATTTTCGGTCTTCCCTAACCATATCCTGATTCTGCGTTGATCACCCAACCTCTTCCTCTCTTTTTTCGCTCAATAAACCCCAACTCACGGTTCTATGTTTTTGCTGTTTAATTAATCTGCATAAATCAAATTAGTATGGAGTTTTGATCAAACGCTGTTTCGTTTATTTACTTTATTTTTGCTCTTTCAACCTTTTTGGGTCCATTGATGAACACTTGCCGCTCGGAGAACTCCCAGCACCGTTTTGTAGATTGTAGACCCCTTTTCACAAAAATAAGTTAATATTAAAACAATAGTTTGAGGATGAAGAGAGGAAAGGTTGACCTGGTCTTGTCTTTCAGCCGAAAGAAGTTGGTGCGGATTTTGATTTTCATGGGCCTTGTGTATGTAATCATGATGGTTCTAGAGGTACCCTTTGTGTTCAGAAGTAGGTCGAGTTTAGTTCCCCAGGAGGGTTTTGGGCATGGACACTTGAGCTCTAGTTCGAGGCCTAAGGTGCTCGATAGTGAAGAGAGCTTGGAAGAAAAAGAAGCTCCAATTCGGCCTATGAACGTTGCTTTTTGGGTCGGGCCATACGATTCTAGACATGAAAGGAGGATCAAAGAGTTGCCGCCAAATCATCCACTTTCTAGCCTGGTGCTTGACGATAGCTTCTCGAATGTGAGCAGCGAACGTGGGTTTGCTGGGATCCTGAAGTCCGCTGCTCAGGCTTTCGAACTGGGGAGGAGAGTTTGGGAGGAACTCGAATCGCTCAAAGAAGGAACAGTTGCTTCTACGGACAGTAGTAGTACCAACCACAACAAGACAGAGGAATGCCCACATTCCGTTTGGATGTCCGGGGAAAATTTTCAGGCGAAAGGTAAGATGATGGTGTTGCCTTGTGGGCTGACCCTGGGCTCTCATGTTACGGTTGTGGGGAGGCCGAAACGAGCTCACCCGGAGAGCGACCCGAAAATATCCCTGTTGAAGGAAGGACAGTACGTGATGGTTTCACAGTTCATGATGGAGTTGCAGGGGCTGAAGACAGTTGATGGGGAAGACCCTCCAAGGATTTTGCATTTCAACCCGCGGTTGAAGGGGGATTGGAGTGGGAAGCCTGTGATTGAGCATAATACTTGTTATAGGATGCAATGGGGAACCGCTCAACGATGTGAGGGGTGGCGGTCCAATGATGAGGAGGAGACTGGTATACTAATTATTCTTTAAACCAATTATTGTTTTTACAATAATTCTGATTAAAATAAACAGTGGACAGAATTCTGTCTTTAATAGCCAATTGATCATAGTGATCTTGTGTCAGTTACTGTAGTGTAGTGATCATGACTCTGATTACCATGTTGATGTTTAATTTTACTTTCAGGTGACACTTATGAAGCTACTGTAGTGATCATGTCTGAGAGATTTTTGTCAATAAGTTTTATTCTAGTAGATTTATAGGAAAACCCACTTAATATTATTATGAATATTGAATATTTGGCACTAGTCATCACACATGTTTTCTTGTTTTTTTTTTGTTGGATAAATAATATTGTTCACCCCGTTTGTGGGGAGGGAGCTAGTTTTTTGTTGAAATGAAATTGCATCAGTCTTCCTAAAACCTTTTAATGTATATATATAATTGATGGGTGAACTTAAAAGGGGATTGCAATTTTCTTATTGCATCATGTTGGTCCTTTATTACAGTTGATGACCAGGTCAAATGTGAAAAGTGGGTTCGTGATGATGACAATAGTTCTGAACAATCAAAGGCCACGTGGTGGTTAAACCGGCTAATGGGGCGAACGAAGAAGGTCTTAGTTAATTGGCCATTCCCATTTTCCGAGGATAACTTGTTTGTGCTAACTCTTAGTGCTGGCTTCGAAGGTTATCATGTTCACGTCGATGGCAGGCATATAACCTCATTTCCATACCGCATTGTATGTAACATTCCTTACCTTTTAATGTTTTTAGTAAAAGGGAATTGAGTTTGCCCTCCAGTTTTCATCCTAATTTGAGTTTACCCCCATTTTTCATATGGTTGATATCTGTTTAAAATGAGGTGCAAACTCCAATTTGAAGAAAAATGGGGTATAAAGTACTACCTCTGTGCCAAAATGTTTAGCCAAATCTTAAAATTTGGATCATCGTTTTGATTAGTATAATATTATGAAGGTTATAAATTTTATACTTTTATGAAAGCACTTTTAACAAAGAACATTTTCATATCATTTTTATATTATAAATAATTTCCAATAAATATATATTATTGGTCAAAGTTTTGGATATGGCTAATTATTTTAGGACGGACGTAATATGAACTAAAATTTTCTGGTGCACATATTAGTGTTTCAAAAAATGGGGTATAAAGTCTAATCCCCCTTTACCATGACAAAATCTAAAATGATATTTTGCACTAAGTTTTTTCCCCTGCTTCCTTTAGGGATTTGCACTAGAGGATGCCACTGGTTTGTGGTTAAATGGTGACATTGATGTTCATTCAGTCTTTGCTGCTTCCTTGCCCACATCCCATCCTAGTTTTGCTCCACAAAAGAATCTCGAAATGTCAAGCAGATGGAAGGCCCCACCTCTCCTTGATCGACCCGTGGAACTATTCATAGGCGTTCTATCTGCGGGCAACCATTTTGCTGAGAGAATGGCTATTAGGAGGTCATGGATGCAGCATAAGCTTATCAAATCTTCAGATGTTGTTGCTAGATTCTTCGTTGCACTGGTAGGTGAACCAGAACAAAAACATCCTTTACGTTGAATGCAATTTCAGAATTGGAATTTCATGTTTTGAAAAATGATGCTTGAACAGCATGCGAGAAAGGAAGTGAATTTGGAGCTAAGGAAAGAAGCTGATTTTTTTGGTGATATTGTCATAGTTCCATACATGGACAATTATGACCTTGTTGTCCTCAAAACTGTTGCGATCTGTGAATATGGGGTAAGCCATTTGCTCGCTGACCCTTTTGTGTTGGAAGAGCAATCACAAATTTTACCTCCTGAGATTAAGCTCTTTTTTCGATCTTTTTTGTGCAGGCTCATGTGGTTTCTGCCAAAAATATCATGAAATGTGATGATGACACATTTGTGAGGTTAGATGCGGTTGTAAATGAAATAAGTAAAATACCTGAAGATAAGAGCTTCTATATCGGTAATATAAATTATTACCATAAGCCCCTGCGAAGTGGTAAATGGGCGGTGACATATGAGGTAGTTATCTCCTTGTTCATATTTATAGCGTTTTTTGCTTCTTTGCTGCATATGTTTGTGTTTTGTGATTAATTTTTCCCAATATGACCATGAAATACATCTCTCTTTGAACTGAGGGGCAAATGATTATTGTGGAACCATTTTGCCCAACATCTATTAAATATGAAATGACAAACCAAAATACGTAGTATATAATATTGGACCAGCCCTCCTATAATATAAGCTCGACATTTGAGTGTATTGCGCTAGTCTTAACGTGGCATAAAAACCAATATGATTTATCCCACATCGTCTCATACGAGGTGTGAGACCTGATCTATACCGTCATGAGGGTTCTTGAAGGTTCAGTTCCACACTGATTAGATAAGAAATAATAAACTAAAATATGAAATATCTAACCACTTCTGTTATCTGACCTCTTAGGATGGACCCTAAGTCTTAATAGTTATCCCTTCCTCGTGTCTTGAATATGTCAATTGAAGTGTCCATTATGGGTTGCGGTTTATCCCATTCTCATAAATCATTTTGTTATTTCTTGGTTGATATAGGAATGGCCGGAAGAAGAGTACCCACCTTATGCAAATGGGCCAGGTTACATAGTTTCATCTGATATCGCGCACTCCATAGTGTCTGAGTTTGAGAAACATAAGTTGAAGGTAGGAGGGTACATACTTTGCTTCCATCTGTTGATGCCTTTATGGTAAAAGAGTAAGTTCATACATGTGTAACTTGTCATTTTTCTGGGGTTGCAGTTGTTTAAGATGGAAGATGTGAGCATGGGGATGTGGGTAGAGAAGTTCAATAGCACAGTAACTCCCCCGGTGGAATATGTGCACAATTTGAAGTTCTCACAATCCGGGTGTGTGGATGATTATTACACGGCTCATTACCAGTCTCCCCGACAGATGATTTGCATGTGGAATAAACTGCAGCAAGGAAAGCCTCATTGCTGCAACATGCGATGACAGTTTGGGTTCATCCTTCTCCATATATCTCAGAATCTTGTAAGAAAGAAAAGGGGAGAGGACAATCTAGGATAATCAAGCTCCCTCCCCCACCCATCCGCCTTGTTTTTGCAGTGCAGTTATAGCATTAATGCTATTATAGTCTGTAAATGTTTCCTGAATTCTTGCTCTCAGTTACGGTAGTAGGGTTGCTTTAGAATATTGTTATTAATTCAATTTATTTAGCTCTATCTTGGTTGTTTCTTTTATCATGTAACTAGTTTTATAGGAGAATAATAAATGTAACAATTAACTACTATGATAGGAGATTTTAAAAATTATACTCAATTAACTAGTTTTATAGGAGAATAATAAATGTAACAATTAACTAGTTTTATAGGAGAATAAGAAATGTAACAATTAACTAGTTTTATAGGAGAACAATAAATGTAACAATTAACTAATTTAACAATTAAACAATTAATTTCGAATTAACTAGTTTAACAATTAAACAAACAATTATTGTCTAACAATTTTTAATGCATGTAACTATTTCCAATAAACTAACAATTAACTACTTTTATATTAATAAAGAATGTATGAGTGTGTAAACTAAATTAATGGGAGTGTGAGAGTGTATAAGCAATTGGATAAGTAGATAATAAGTGTATAAGTAGATACACTTAATATATATATTTATAAGTAGATAATAAGTAGATTAACTAGTACGAGTAATATATAATACTTCGTATTATATTTATAGTATATATAATATAAGTATATTACTATAAGATGAGTAATACACTTATATATAATACTTTAATATATATAAGTATATATTAAGTATATGTAATATGTAAATATAAGTAAATAAATTAGAGATAATTATATATGTAATATGTAATATGTACATATAAGTAAATATATATAAGTAACAATAATATAATAATTAGATATTAATATAAATAGATAATAAGTAGATAATAAATTTTATAAATATAATATATGTAGTTATAAATTTGAGAAGATGAAGATGGAGAAGATTAGTAGAAAATAGATATTAGAGAGTAGGAATATTTGGAGAAGATCTGTAGTAAATTGTATAGAAAAAATTGAGTATTTATAGATTTTTTGTACCTCACCCCCAACCCCAACCCACCCCGGGACCCCCCGAAAGGCTCCCAACGGCTATAGAGCCGTTTGGGTTGAATTACAACGACTATAAGGCCTGTTTGGTTGGCCAAAGATTTTTTTAAAAAATATAGCCGTTAGGCTCGGACCGGGCCCGAACCGGCCGGGCCGGGCCGCCATTTTCCTGAATCGTGCCCGAACCGCCCTACCCCCCGGGCCGGATCAAAGTCCGAAAGCCCATAAGTTACCCGGGCCGGGCCGGGCCGGGCCCACACAGTAGCTGTCCGGGCCGGTTTCGGCCCGACCCAGCCTGTCCAGGTTTGGTCCATCCCTAAGTCCGGGTAACTTTTTTTAATTAGAAGCATGAATGTTAAAAAACATTATGCATTATTCTTGATATAATCTATTCATTAGAATTAAGATGTTTTTACTTGGGCTGTTTTCAGTCTCAGACCAGTTTAGACTTGGATAATTATAAAATACACATAGATCAGACATGTACCAAACCAAACAACAAATTTCAGTCCAAGTAAAAACATACTTAGATAAATCGAATTTAAATCAAATTTTTGAATGCAAAATGTAAAAATTAATAACAATCTGCAAACATCAAATGATAGAATTAGTATAATAGGAAGTGCCTCATATAGGAGTAAAATAAGGGATAAATTCTTAAATGGGAAAACACGCTCACAAAATTTCATAACAAATTCGATCCGAAAGCACTTCAAATGAAAGAGATCTAAAATTATAAATTGTAGGTCTACTTTACATAATCATCGTCCACTATGAGAGAGAATATATGTTTTGAAATAATTAAATTGGTTTATAAATTGAAATAAATAATTTTGATATTGGCCAATTGAAACTAACATATCTTTATTGATATCAACATGAGACAACCCATTATTATATATCGAGGAACTATTTAATCTTGGAATAGAATTCAAGATTATTTTGCTACTAACCAATTGCTCTAGATCAAATAATGACCTTGATATGGAGTAGTATTTTTAAGTTTGATGTACCCAGAACATGTGGGGGGGAGGGGGGAGGGGGGGGGGGGGGGTAAATTAAAATGGATCGGGTCTAATGCTGGTTTGTTTAGTTAAGATGTTCAAATTGAAGAATCTTAACTTCAACACGATTAACTAGTTTCAGGTCATGTACATGAGTCGACTCTAGGCTGGGCTTTCAGGTCATTTGGGCGATTCTAAACACGAACATTAACTTTTTAGAGAAAAACATAATCAAGGTTCTAACTCTCCTATATAGCTTCATATACAAACATGTAAGAATTATATTGTTCTTACATAGTTTCTGAATCCGGACTAGAGTTATAGTTATAGTTATAGCTATATTTTGCTCCACAAAGACTAACATTCGAGTTCCGGTTCAAAACTAAATTTGTGTCATATCCTAGACATCGTCAAACATAATTCACTTGTTTAAAATATTGTTGGGATATTTTAGGGCCCGGCCCAAGAATCTGCTCAAAATATCCCTAAGAGACCATGTTTAATGGAGTCCAACAGAATGGAAGAACGAACGGGCACTGTCGTAGAGTACATGTCGAACGGTAATTACCAAACGACATGAACATTACACTTGGCGTAGAAGAGAGCCACTCATGGAGGGTCAACCAAGAGAATTGGTGGGAAACCTCAGTATTGGTGGGAAGTGCATTTAATGCAAGAAGTATGGGGGGTTCCATGACGCGAGGGTCATCCACTCGTAATCTGCCACATCACCCTCAACCACTCATCCATAGTATAAATACTAGCATTGATGTCATTGTAAAGGGTTAGCTGTAACATCTTCCCCAATTATATTTACTTTTAAGTAAATAATGTAATGAACCTCGTCAAATGGTTAATGAATTTGCGAAGTTGTAAATTTCCATTATTTCTTTCGTGCGAATAGTATATTGCCCGTGGGGCCCACACCAAGAGCGGGGGCCGCCTGACGTTCCCGAAACCATACATTTTATTCATCTTGGTCTAGATAATAAATATATAGCGGTGGATATTTCATTTGGGCCATGGGAAGGCCCAGAGTTGACCGATTGGTCAAAAGAGGCCCAAATTACCGGTACTGGTGATTTAACAGATAACAGCCCGAAACGGATTTCAGAGACATCTAAATTAAAGATGAGGAATGTATATTCATTCCAAAAGTCCATAATGATGGGAAACACATAATATATTTTATTTGACCCGATAAAATAAAATATGATTAAAATAGTCCGAAAAATACAACTTTCGGAGTCGGTTGTACACTTCAGGACACAAAGGGATGACCTCCCACATGAGTGGGGGCCACCCCACGTTTTTGTGCACTCAATAAGTCATATGAGGACTGGCATGACAAGGAATATGTGGAGGAGGACTTTTCCCTTTGGCATCAAAAGTACATAGGGGACCCCTCCCTCACTCATTTGTCAATTAAGACAAAAGTGAGTCATCCTCTCTCCCTCCAACCTATGTGCTCGGCCAGACCACCCAAGAAAGAGGAAGAAAAAGCTCTCCAACCTTTCTCCATTGCTGCAACTCGAGCTCAAGCTATAAGGGTCCAAAGAAGGAGGTTTGAGAAGGGAAAAGTTAGGAAAAAGTGAGAAGAAGTAAGCTAATGACCTTGTATTAACTTCTCCTTTATTTTTCTTCTACCATATGAGATATATGACATATGAGGAGACCCCAGGATTGTTCTACATGTTTAGAAGTATAGAATGAGGGGTTGGAAGGTAGTTCTAAGTCCAAGAACGGACTTAGAAGCCAAGACGACCGGTTCGCCGGAAAATAACCTTTTAGGGGTTATTTGTATTAATATGGGTTTTATGATTATAAAACCATGTTAGGAACTTGACTAAATGGTTTCTAGAGTTCGTCGGAGTTTCGCCGGAATTTCGCCGGAGTTTCGCCGGAGTTCAACCGAGGAGCGTAGAACGCACTTAAGCTCATTTAAGGTGAGTGGACGGCTTAATATCTTATAACTTTTGGGTTAATTACGAGATTGCCTAAATAAATGTTATATGTATTCATAATGAAAGGGTAAAGGAAGCCTAGAATGAATATTATTGACTAATATACATGATGATTGAGTTGAGATGTACAAGGTTTGAAATGGCGGTCAACGAAAATGTTGACCGATGGGTAATGGATTAATTAATACCAGTTGGTATTAGTTAATCATAAACTTATATAAACGCATGACTTGCATGAGTAGAGATACATAAGATTTATGGATTGATTTAGCTATGAATGAATAAATATGATATAGACTCTATCTAGGTTGATAGGAGCTGATCATAGGATCATATATTGGTGGAGGACCCTAGAACTTAATGTTCTTAACACTCAAATTATATATTGGTGGAGGACCCTAGAACTTAAAGTTCTTAACACTCAAATTATATATTGGTGGAGGACCCTAGAACTTAATGTTCTTAACACTCAAATTATATATTGGTGGAGGACCCTAGAACTTAAAGTTCTTAACACTCAAATTATATATTGGTGGAGGACCCTAGAACTTAAAGTTCTTAACACTCAAATTATATATTGGTGGAGGACCCTAGAACTTAAGGTTCTTAACACTCGGATTATAAATTGGTGGAGGACCCTAGGACTTAAAGTCCTTAACACTCGGATAAAAAAATTGGTGGAGGACCCTAGGACTAAAAGTCCTTAACACTCAAATACAAATTGGTGGAGTACCCAAGGATTATGTTCCTCAAAACTCATAGATTATGATATTGAAGTATGGACAAGGAGGAGTCCTATACACTCATAGGCATATGGGTGGGTTGGGGTTTTTAGTCAAGGATGTTGACTATTAACATTTTCCCAAATAAAACGTTGATCTACAGATCAGGTATTTTTCCAAGTGTATATGTACTACTAAGTATTTCTTAACTTGGGGGGAAAGACTATTTATATAAGTATCACCCTATGTTTGGGTCTTATACTTGAAACGCTAGTTATTCTATATTTAGCCTGCTACTCGCTCGGTACTTGTACTGACCCCTTCGGGGGGGCACCATTTCAGGTTGAAGTTAAGGCTTGTCGTCTACACCTTTGCACGGGTGAAGAGAATCCAGAGGAAGACGTGGTTCGTGCTCCCTCTACTGTTTCAAAAGATAAACTATGCTCATGGATACTTTTGT